TTATTGGGACAATTGAGGTACTTTGAAAATAAGCTACATATTAGATAATAATGGATTAATGTTAATTTTATGAAGTACAATCGTTGCATCGTTATTATGTCGGATGTCCATGTTTTTGAGGAATACATGCTGAAGTATCAGGACGTTAGCAACTAACTTTTAAAATGAAGAAAAAATATAAATCTATAGAGAGAAGAAAATGTGTAAAAAGACAATATTACACACTGTTGTTCGTTTCTTTCATATTTCTAAAAAGAATGATATTGTTAAAACAGGTATCAAAGTTGAAGAGTATTGTATTGTACTAATTATTTTGAAACAACATCAGTTTTCAATTTACTTAAATAAAATTAAACTTCCTCATAAAATGTTAATATACATCTATTGAAATATTCCAACATCAGATGAATCAACACCTATTTCTCCAATAATGTTAAAAGACTCTTAATCAATAGAGCCTTTAAACGTTTAAAATTACAATAGCTATTAAATATAAACTATTTCTGAAATAGAAATTCAATTTTTATAAAATTAAAAACTTAAATAACCATTAAGTGTATTGACATATACATTAATGTTCAAGCTTATTGTTCTGAAATGACATTACAAAATAAACAAATTTCTTTGGTTGAAACAGCCTTCCCAATTACAATAATTTAGATTTTTATTTTGAAATAGTCCTCGAAAGTTTAACATTAGTCTCAGAAATTATCAAATTCATTTTTCATCATTTCTGCATTAGATATAACAGTAACTTTATCCTACTTAGGTGTAAGGGTGGCATTTCCATTTATTCTGTGTGTATTAGGTGGATTCTTTCAAGCCACTTCAAGTATTTTTGGAACAAAGCAAAGCATAGACAAATGAATTACATATATGGCTGACATTTTTCCCCCTAACATATCTAAGTATCTTGTGTGAGCTCCCAAGTTGAAGATAAAATAAAACCCTTAAACAGTGCTATTCACCATAGTCTTACATTAGGAGCTATAAGAAGCTAAAATAATATTTCATTCTATATTAAATAACAGGTGATAAGATTCTAAATTACTGCAATAAGAAACCCTACAGGTAAGTTCTGGACATAACCAAAGATTATTGTATATTATTATATACAAGCTGGCTGTCACTTTTACTATTCTTTGTGGCAAGCTTTACACATACTTCTAGTTCTTATCAAGGCATTCTCAACTCAGGCACGACTAGTCAAAAATATTAAAAAGAGCCAGGCCGGTGTGGCTCAGTGGTTGAGGGTCTACCTATGAACCAGGAGGTCTAGGTTCGATTCCTGGTCAGGGCACATGCCCAGGTTGGAGGGCTTCGTGTTTTAATGTCTTCATGGGTCATGTGATTAGTGGTTGGGTGTTCTGCTACTTGCGGCAGAAAATCTCAGCCAATTTTTTGAAAATTAAAAGATGATACTTTGCCTGTCCCACTTAACTTCAGGCATTATCTAAAGTCTTTTAATCACAGCTCTTTAAAGAGAAATGTTTCATCTTCTATGTTTCCCCTCTCTCTTATGCTGTGTACCTAGTCTCATTGCTGACAGGGTTTTAATACCATAATGGAAGCTTTAGGAAAGTATCAAGAATTAAGTACCTGTAAAGTCCCCATGGTAAGTACCCTTTCCCCAGCATTGTGATGTGCCAAGTCTTAAAGTATTCAATCTCCTTCCAAACCCCACCATCAACATGAGAACGTGTTCTCGGGAAAGTGTATGAAATAGTTATAGCCTTGGCATAACTTTAAAGCCAAGGTGGAAGAGGCCCTTATGCAGAGATATTCCGATGCGTACACGCAGATCACCTGTGTCAGAGTAACCTGCGGGCTGGTTAAAAATGCAGAGTCTTCCACCCCATCCCAGAACTAGCCAAACTGAAGTCTCCAAAGGTGGGATCCAGGAATATGTATTGTAACAAGCTCCTCATTAACCATTGAGACCCAAAGGCTTAAGGTAATCTATAATAGTTTTTTTAAAATATATATATATTATTGATTTTTTACAGAGAGGAAGGGAAGGGATAGAGAGTTAGAAACATCGATGAGAGAGAAACATTGATTAGCTGCCTCCTGCAACCCCCACCCCCCCAACTGGGGATGTGCCCACAACCAAGGTACATGCCCTTGACCAGAATTGAACCTGGGACCCGTCAGTCCGCAGGCCGACACTATCTACTGAGCCAAACCGGTTAGTCCAGCTAATCTAGTTTTAGTAGAGGTGGTTTAGAGGTGAAGGAGACTCTGAGGCGGCATGCCTGAAACCCCTAAATAATCCTGAGGAAATGGATTAAGGGGGGCTTTCTTGGCCATTTGCCATGTTATGGTATTTCCTCGACAGTGAACATAGGAACTTCTAAACTTTCACTAGAACATGGCCCAATAAGGCCTCCACCTTCTATTGAAATTATTTACATAAATAGTAACAAAGAAATACAAATTTTTGCCTATACCAAGTCATCTCAGAGAGAAATCACGGACGGAAGCTGCTTTCCAGTGCTCCACATGAGAATCAAGCAAAACTATTAATCAAAGGCCCTCAGGAAGGAGGCAACAACCAGTCTGTGGGTCTGGGGTTCCACTTCGATAAGTCTCCTTTCTGCCTCCCCTGGGCAAGGTGGTTGGGGTGGGAAAGAGAGAATAGCATCTCTAATTCCTGTTTGGGTCCTTGAGATAGTTCAGTTGTAAAAGGAAAGAGGCTTCACCAGGGCTGAGTAGCTAGTTTAAGTAATATTTCCTTACGTATTAACTAGAGGCCCAGTGCACGAAATTTGTCTGTGAGGGGGATGGGTAATCCCTCAGCCCAGCCTGCATGCTCTCCAATCTGGGATCCCTCTCACAATCCAGGAGGAACTGCTCTCCTGCCTGCCTTCCTGATTGCCCCTAACTGCTTCTGCCTGCCAGCCTGATCATCCCTTAACCACTCCCTTGCCAGCCTGATTGATGCCTAACTGCTCCTATGCCAGCCTGATTTCCTTAACTGCCCTCCCCTGCAGGTCTGGTCCCCCCTAACTGCCCTCCCCTGCAGGCTTGATCACCCCCAACTACCCTCCCCAGCAGGCATGGTGTCCCCCACAACTACCCTCCCTTGCAAGCCTGGTCCTCCCAACTGTCCTCCCTTGCTGGCCATCTTTGACCACATGCGGGTGGCCATCTTGAGTGTTGGAGTGACTGTCAATTTGCATATTACCTCTTTATTACATAGGATATTACTTTGAAGACAATAAAGAGACTGCTGAAAAGTAATTCCAACTGAAAACTGAAACCTTCACTCACTGATTTATAAAACAACATATGGTTTCCACAGATCTTACAAGGAAAAGGAATTTCCCCAGATCATTGGCCAAAAAGTTCCTAAAACACATGACAACCAAGGAATTTGGTTGGGTTGCACCTGGGATTTACAGAAACTTGAGCGACTTAACCAGCTCTTCTCCATTGTTTTGCCCCACCTGTACTTTTAGAAGACCCAGGAGCTAAGCAGAAAGCCTGTATATATAGCATCTCAAAAAGCAATAGACAACCTGGGCCCGAGAGAGTAGGGGGGGCAAAGGGCAGAGAGACGTGATGAGAGATAGAGGTTGCCATCTCTAGGGCGCCCGATGAGGACAGATATAGCTTTTGCAGGAAAGAAACGGGCCAGAGGTCATTGACCACATCAACACAGAAAGAGCAAAGACCCTCTTGGCCCAGTGAAAAGGTGCCCTGTGGAAACATCACAGAATGTGGATAAGTCTTTCACTATTTTCAGGGAAGCTAGAAAACGGAATGTTTATGCAACTCTCCTAATTTCTAAACGTTGGCTCACAACAATGTTTAAACACTGTGTGAGCCAACAGCAACACATCTTCAGGGTCGAATTTGGCATGTGAGCCTACAGTTGCAACCACAGAGTTTTGCCTTCAAATGTAAAATAGAAAGAGTAAGACGATTGAGGGTTTCCAAATTAACTGGGGAGAGGAGGGTTATGCATCTTTTCAAAACTATTCTTGTGCTTTATCTCCCCCTCCCCCCCTCCCATACAATCTACTTGAAACATTGAATCATTCCTTGGCCTGAGGAAAAGATGAGGAATTTTAAAAAAATATATATATATTTTATTGAGTTTTTACAGAGAGGAAGAGAGAGGGATAGAGAGAAACATCCATGAGAGAGAAAAATCGATGAGCTGCCTCCTGCACGCCCCCTACAGGGGATGTGCCCGCAACCAAGGTATACATGCCCTTGAGCAGAATCAAACCTGGGACCCTTCAGTCTGCAGGCCGATGTTCTATCCACTGAGCCAAACCGGTTTCGGCAAGATGAGGAATTTCTTACAGAAATAAAACAGGTCTTTAAGAGAAAGACCAAAGTAAATGAGTTGAACATTCATGCCCACAGCTGTTAATTTCCTAGAGGGAAGCTGCTTGGGAAGGTCTTGGTGCATCTTGCCCGGCTGAGTTCAGGAGTCTTCAAGGAGCTCATCACACCCGTCATGAATGAGTTCCCCACGATCTGTTCAGACACCAGCAAGCAAATGGGAGGTGTGTTTGAGGAATTCCTGGGATTCAGACTCCAGGGCCGTGCTCAGTTGTCCTATTTACTCACATTTGCCCAAATCACTGGGGAAGGGGGGAGGTGGAGGACGTGGAGCACATAGATTAGCCAGTTTCCATCACTGCCTGCCCTCTACCCTGTCACGGACTGGTGAAGAGCGCGGCCTCCGGAGGCAATCTCTGTTAAATTCTCAGTCCCGTGTCCTCCGCGCTGGGTGCCCCTTCCTCCAGGCCGGTAACCCCTCGGAGGCTCCATTTCCTCCCCTGGGTAATGGAGGAAGCAGGAGCAATTAGCTCGTGGGTTTTAAGGCGCACGGAGAGCGTTTCGTTTCGCCCGTGACAGATGGCAAGTCCTAGATGCACCGTCGTCATTAGGAGCGTCTCATTAGTCCCCGCGGGGTGCAGCCCCCGCCTGGCTTCTCCTCCTTCCCGGCTCCGGAGGGAGGAGGCGGAGTCCGGCTGGTGAAGATGGGGTCCCGCCGCTCACCCCGCTCCGCTCTCCGGCCTCCTCACCTGGAAGCGGGTACCGCCGCGCCCGCCGCCCGATGGCTGGTCTCCGAGGACGGACTGGGACAGCATCCTCCGCACGGCGCCGGGCACACAGGGCACCGGCAGCCGGAGGGCCTGCTGTCGTGTCTAATGGGCGAAGTGGGCGGAGTGAGGTGCAGGAGGACAGCCTGGGGGGGTCAGAGCCACCCCCATCCCCGCCCAGCGGGGGCTCCGAGGGCTCCCTGATCAGGCCCGTGTCCGCGCGGAGCCGGCACTGCCGATGCCACGGACAGGGTGCTGGCGCCGGCAACCGGGCCGCCCCATTAGTGGGCCCGCGGCGGACAGCCGGCCGCTGCCCCTCGCGCCCCCGGAGCAACCCCGGGCAATGGTTCGGCCCGCGGCTCCCCGCCCGCTGAGGGCGCACCGCGTCCTCCGCCCGGTCCCCGGGGCTCGCCCTCCGGACCCCAGCCCGCGGGGCGGCCGCTGCAGAGCCGCACGGTCCCCCGACTCCCCGCGGCCCCGGTCCCCCCCCCCCAACTCCCAGCGGCCCGGGTCCCCCCACTCCCCATTCCCCGCGGCCCCGGTCCCCCCCCACCGACTCCCCGCGGCCCCGGTCCCCCCCACCCAACTCCCCGCGGCCCCGGTCCCCCCCACCCAACTCCCCGCGGCCCCGGTCTCCCCCCCCCACTCCCCGCGGCCCCGGTCCCCCTCCCCGCCCGACTCCTCGCGGCCCGGGTTCCCCCACTCCCCGCGGCCCCGGTCCCCCCCCCCACACTCCCCGCGGCCCCGGTTCCCCCCCCCGACTCCCCGCGGCCCCGGTCCCCCCCCAACTCCCCGCGGCCCCCCGACCTCCCCGCGGCTCCCCGACCTCCCCGCGGCCCCGGTTCCCCCGGACTCCCCGCGGCCCCGGGCTCCCCCACGACCTCCCCGCGGCCCCGGTCCACCCCCCCCCCACTCCCCGCGGCCCCGGGCCCCCCGACTCCCCGCGGCCCCCGACTCCCCGCGGCCCCGGACTCCCCGCGGCCGGGGCGGCGCTCAGGTGCGGGCTGCCCCCTCAGGTGTGCGGAGGCGGAGGCGGGAGAGGGGCGGGGGGGACGCGGCGGCCGCATTTGAACCTCAGCCCCGGGCGGGTAGACCCTGCGCGGGGTGTGTGCGGGCAGGGGCCCGGCGCCTCGGGCTCCCCGTGAAGATTACTCCCCACGAGGGCGGGCACTGGCCGTGCCATTGCATTGGTGGATGTGTAAGCCGTTCGGTGTTTAAATGAACGGGAAGCAGCCGCGTGCCCGGGCTGGGGGACTGTGGGCAGCCGGTCCGCAGGGAAAGGCGAGGTTTCTACGGAGACCAGGCTGGACAGGAGATGCCAACTGCTCCCGCTCCTCCCTGCGTGCTTTAGCTGGGTGATTTCTCACAGACAACACACACATACACACCAAACACACACACACACACACACACACACACACACACACTCATCACACACACACACTCCAAACACACACATCCCAAACACAGACACCCCCAACACACACCCCACCCAAACACACACACCCAAAACACACACACACCAAACACACACACCACACCCACACCCCAAACACACACACACACACACACCAAACACACCACAAACACACACCCCCAAACACACACAAAACACACACCCCAAACACACACCCATCACACACACACACACACACACACACACACACACACACACACACAGACACTCACCCCAAACATACACAAACCCACGAATTTCATCTGGGGAAGTCAATTAGCTGGAAGGTGCAGAACCGGTGGAAACGATAGTGTAAGGAGGGAAGCCCCTTGCTTTGTCCACAGGCCCGAGGCCTCTGAGGGAAGGACGGAAGGTCAGCAGTCACTGAGGTTGTCTTCCTCCTTCTAATCGGGAAAGATCACTTCTAAATGGTCCCATCGCTAGTGTGAGGTAGAGCCAAAGGAAAATGTAGACGTTGGGATCCAGGCTGCCTTCCCACTAGAGTATGGAATGATGTTACCAGTTTGGCTTTTGCTTTTAACCAAAACAGAATTGAAGATGCGAAATATAATTTTATTGAAGAATTGACAGGGAGAGTGAGATGGAAACATCAATGATGAGAGAGAATCATGGATTGGCTGCCTCCTGCTCGCCCCCTCCTGGGGATGGAGCCCTCAACCCATGGCATGTGCCCTGACTGTGACTTCCTGGTTCATAGGTCGATGCTCAACCTCTGAGCCACGTTGGTGAGTGAAAAGTATTTTTTATCCTTTCCTTTCAGCGAACTAACGTCTTAAGAATAGTGGTTACCTTTGTTTTCCTAAAGCATATAATAAAAAATAACCATATGTCATGTGTTGTGAATTGATGATGATGATGATGATGAATAAAAAGGCACAGCTTATTTTTGCCTTTTTCATAAATTGTCTATGACTTGAACCAGTCATTTTCAAATAGTTTATTCATTAGTGAAATTCATACGAGCTTACAGTACCTGAGTCACAGCATATTCATTTCTTAATAAAGCAAATCATATTTGTTTTATAATTTTGGTAACATGAAAAGTTTCAAAAGAAATCTGTGAAAAGTTAACTGGTCATTTTTGTTTTTTGGAGGTGGAGGAGAGAAATTAAAGAGGGAAAGTATTTTTTAAATTCTCCAGTGGTAGCTAAGGATTTTAAAAAATATTGTTTTTAGCCCTAGCTGGTTTGGCCCAGTGTATATGTAATGCCTTGACCTGTGGACTCCAGGGTCTCAGGTTCCATTCCGGTCAAGGGGATGTACAGGAGGCAGCCAATCAATGATTTCCTCTCATCACTGATGTTTCTCTCTCTTCCCCTCTGAATCAATAAAAATAAGTCCTATAAGCAAGATAAATTTTCAAAAGACAAACAATGGTTATTTTGGATAATCTGCCTAATACCAGATTTAGAGTTATAACTTGAGCTAGTCCAGTAATCACAAATGATTCCTGCTTATACACCATTGTGCTAAAACTTTGCAAGTATTATCACCTTCACTTCTTAACCTTAGCTGTATTAGTTAGCCAAACTATAATTTCTAATTTTATATGAGGGACAAGGGTTTTAGAGAGTTAAGTGACTTATTTATAAGAATTAAGTGATTCTCAACAATTTTAAAATAAGAATTAAGTGTTTATCCCAAGTTCTAGGAATTATTTATTTAAATCTAAATTCTTAAGGTGTGTGCTTGATGAAATTCTCTATTTCACATAAAAATTTCAAATTACTAATGGCAAAGTTTAGACTTAAAAATATAACATTTTAGGATGTAATATTTACTTTTAGTTTGTGAAAATAGGCTAAAAACGGACCCATTCTTGCAATATTGTATTCTTTTCCATATAAATACTGCCACTTCAAATTTAAAAATTTTTTTTTACTTTACCTGAATAACATACATTTACACAGCTTCTTTTAAAACTTAAGATTTAAATTGTTAAAAGTATTGAAAAGATAAAGGTGTTAATTGTGTTGACTTATATAACAGTTATATAACAAAACCCATAACCTCTAAAGATAGGTAAAGAGATTTGGACCTGTTTGGACCATGTAGGCCTATTTGGTTTCATTAAAAAATAAGTCTTGGACGTCTAGTCACTCCAAGCCCAAAACATTTGCACACTCATAAAGTTAAATCTGGAAATTAGATACTGTGGTTTCCCACAGAAAAATACTTTCATATTGAAGATTTTAATAGGGGTTATATGATAAAAGGATTTCATGATAAAAAAGGCTGAGTTAAACAAAATTTAACAGGTGTCTTTATTGAGAAATTTTCAGAACATTCAATATGTTGATAGGCATGATAAATCTTCAAGAGTGGAATATGACCAAAGAATTCTTTATTTATGGATCATTTTGCAGAACTAATATTCTATGAAATAATTTGGGAAATAGTAATATAGTGACTCAATCTAATTGATTCATGTTAAAATAGATTTGATATAGACTATCATATTGTCAGCCTGTTGACAAAAAGTAATTTGCCAAAATGTGTAATTTAGTAAGTCTCATACAATCTCCCTAGATTTTATTCCAAGGTATAGTGTTTTTCTTGCCCTAATAGTGTATGAGGAGAAAACAAAACAAAACAGAATTTCTTAATTTTTATTTTTTTTAATATATTTTATTGATTTTGTACAGAGAGGAAGGGAGAGATAGAGAGTTAGAAACATCAATGAGAGTCATCGATCAGCTGCCTCTTGCACACCCCCTACTGGGGATGTGACCACAACCAAGGTACATGCCCTTGACCGGAATTGAACCCGGCACCCTTCAGTCCCTAAGCCGATGCTCTATCCACTGAGCCAAACCGGTCCCGGCAGAATTTCTTAATTTTTAATTAAAATATGATCATTTGGATATCATTCATTCAACAAACATTTATAGAGTGCCTGGCCAAGCACTGTGTTGCTGCTAAAACTAAAAGAGCAGCTGGGGGAAAAGATACATTTTTAAAAAAGAGAATATTTAAAAAAGAATATCCTATTTAATAAAGAATATCCTATCTAATAAAGAGGGAATAAGCTAATTGACCATCACACCCTCACAAAGATGGTGGCACCCACAGCCAATAAGAAGGGAATATGCTAATTGACTACCACACCCTCAAAGATGGCAGTGCCCATAGCCACAAGATGGCAGCACCCTGTCCCCTCAGCCCCACAGGGGCAGCAAGCACGCAGCATCCAGGCAGGTCTGGCTGCTCCACACGCCTGCCTCCAGAGTCCCCTGTATCCTCAGCCCCCAGCCACCCAGGGCCAGCCCATGGTTCAGGCAAGTCTCGGATGGCGGCTGCCCAGCCACTCAGGGCTGCCCGAGGCTCAGGTAACCAGGGCCGGCCAGGGCTTGCACTGCAGCAGTGGCAGCGGCAGAGGTGTGAAGGGGGCATTGCCTCCCCCTGATTGTGGAGTCACCTCCTGGCCCAGGGGGCTCCCGGACTCTGAGAGGGGGCAGGCCTGGTTGAGGCACCCTCCACCTCACTCCAGTGCATGAATTTTCATGCACCAGGCCTCTAGTATTAATATATATGTGCTAAGGCCTGCACAAACTACTAAGAAATAGATGAAGAAAGTTTCTGATTTATCACTTACTAGTATTGTAAAAGTCTGCTTAGTTTATGTCACTAGTACACATTTCCTATATAGAATTT